GGTTTCTTAATGAGAGGGTTGTTGAGATAATGGATGAGAGGGATGGATAGTGAATCGAATATATTCCGAATCCATTTAATTTTAAATCTTCGTATTATTAATCCTCTCTAATTACATTTGTTATATTTGATAATCACGTTAATTTCAATGCTAAAAAATTACACTTTCGTGGAAAAATTCGAGTTATTCGAAGAATTGGTATTTTTACTACGTTGAATTTGAATCGTTACAAGCATATATAATCCCGCTCGTTAATCAATCCTACAACCCCTTCTCGTAAGAGCCCTCATCCCCTCAAATCCCTAAAAGAGAAAGCCCGTCAACCGTATCACGCATTACTCAATCCAAACATCTCTATGACACAACATTAATCTCCGCCTAAGATCTATCGGGATCATCGTCTTAGGCAAATAGACGAAGCAACCAACTTTACCTCCTCCCTCCCCCCAAGTAAGCACCTTAATTAACCTTAACACGATACCTAGCTGATACGATTTTAATCGGTACCTTTAATTAACGAAATGCCTCCAGTTTGCGTTCCCTTGGTCAAGTTGTCTAACCACCTGCTCGATCAGCTCGACCAAACTTCTCTCTTTATCTTCCCTCTCTCTCTCTCTCTCCCTCTCTCATCCTCTCTTCCTCTTGTATACTCTTGGATTCCATTGGTTTTCAAGCCTCGTGGCCTCGTAACCACCGCACCCCATCCTCCCAGGACCTCCTCTCCCTTCGCGCCTCGAGGAGTCGTAATTACTTCCGTTTCGCCCTCAACGTTAAATAAAACACCCCTTGTCGCTTAATCGTCCGCTCGATCGTGCATAATCGACTTCCTTCTCGCGTGTATTCGATCCCTTTGAACATCCGAGTACACGGAATGGAATTATGCAACGCGTTCTCTTTCCATCTTCCATAGATGGAATTATCTCGTCGTGATCGCCCTCGAACGAAACACGGTTAATTGGGCTTGATTCCACGATCGAGTTTTCGCGACTTTGTGCTCGATGCTTATTGTTGCTT